GCGGTCTCGAGATGAAAAAACGGTACAGAGGCCCAGCGCACACACAGACACACACACACAGACAACCTCTCGTCAATATGCGTTTTTCGCATTGCATTACTGCAAAAAACGCATAAAAAGAGTTTTAAATAGTGCGCTGTAGATATTTTCTCTGGGAAATCACTGCTGAAGATTTTATGTCCAGTGTCCTCCGAACACAGAACGGGCTCTGATGGACCGGTGATGAGAATCAAGGACAAAGAACTGGACTGCTGAATGATGCCCACGAAACGGAACGTGAGGGAGGTCCCTGATAAGAGGGAGAGATCCACTTTCAATGCCTACGTGGATGTTGCGGGCTCTCTCCTGGCCGTAAAAGGAAATGTCAAGGGCCGTGTCGATGACCAGAGCAGCAGCTACTTGTTTCTTGCAGAAGGATCGTTTTCGGTACAGTTCAGCGGCCTGCTGGTTAAGCAGATGCACCTGCACACGTTTCTTTTGTTGTTTTTTGGTTAACCTTTTTTGGTAATTCGGCCAAAAATGCTCACTCGCTTCAGCTCTTTCACATGGGCATTTTCATCATCCAGGACTGCAGTTGTCATCCGTGTCACAGACGCATTGATGTGGCTTCTGCAATAGCAATTCCTGACGCACAATACGCAAGCTGCTTCAGCGCGCATCCACGAACGTCAGGAGCATGCAAAAACGCGCGCTGCACGCTTCCGATCAGCCACTGCGCTGATACACATTAGACGAAGAACGTGCATACAACTGAACAGAGCCTGAACCCTCACCCCAGCCACTGGCATGCTTCTCAAACACAAACCAGAAGGTGGAAATGCCGCCTCGACAGGGACTTGCTGCTAAAATGCACGAAGAAGACAGCTTTCCCGTTCCTCACTGCCAGTAAAGGCACTGAGGTCTGCATGCCGTTTGGAAAACGGACAGAAGTAACCTCCCAGGCTGGGAATCGAACCCCCGCAAGCTGCAAATGTGCCAGTATCCAGCACGGCAAAGATGAAGGCCCAGAGCACGCAAAATTCCCGCAAAAAAAGCAGAACAACGAATAAAAAGAACGTCGGAAGGCACAGAAATCGAGTGCCGCAGGCCATGTAGATGATGTAGTGAAGGAAGCTGCCTAATGTGCCGGCAGGACGCTGGGCAGTGCGCTGAGTCGTGGATGCCATACGGAAGCATGTCACAGTGAAAAACAAAACATCGCACTTCAACGGAATTGCGTGAGCCCAACGCACTCCCACTTCGCCCTGCAGCATCAAAAATCTGCCCCGCAAAGAGCCGGTGAAATTTTCACAGGCCGCTGCTATTCATTTTATGCAAAAATTCATACCACACTGCAACATTGTGCTTTTCTGTATACATATATATATACATATAGAGAGAGAGAAATATATATATATATAAATGTTACGCTGAAGGCAATAGTTCAACTTCACTAGCACGAAATTCACACAAAGAGCCGACTAAATTTTCACAGGCACTTGCACGAAATTCAACTCCTCAACACATTTATTCATCCATTTCGACGATAAATTCGTGCTGTTGCATATCATCAGAAAACCGAAATTTACTTCAACGGAAACTTCGGAAGAGCGAGCCTTACCAGCGGCTGGTTATTGTTCGCACATGCTAGCAATCGTGCAAACTCCTACTGGATGGAGACTGATTATGAAGGGGATTTTTCCAGATGTGAGAAAGGCATTTGCTGTATAAGACTTCTTGTGAAATTACCAGTCGTCGCTTGAAATACCCAATTATAAAAGTGCAGAAATTATGTTTTGGCATGTAGACAAGATGAGAACGAGATCACATAACGAACTCGTTTCCGAGAAGCACGGCAATTGCATGATTTTGAACGTGTCTCTTCAGTATACCTCGTGACCAACATACTCCTTCTTTTTGTTTCATTCGCTGAAATAAAATGACAAGTTTTGCAGCATTGAGCTTCTCATACCCGTTTTTATTTTTTTTTTCTTACATTTTAATGTTCTTCAACATTTTCCAGCTAATCTTTCGCATTTATTTTGCAGTTTGGTTTTTGTTAAGATGCAGAATAAAAATTACTTTTTTTAATAAACACATAGGTTATTGGCGGATGAATTGTAAAGAGGGGGAGGAAGGTGGGACTGGAAGGCAGGAAGCGGGGGAGGGGGAGAGGGGAGGGGAAAGGCAGAGGGTGATAATCGGAGGGAAGGGAAAATGTAGAAGAAGCGGAATTACGTCTTCTCCTCTTGCTATGAATACAAATGAAGTATAACGAATAGAAAATGTATACAGGGCGCAGTCGTAGAAAGAAGTCGGATTGGAACCAATGTACGCTTCCCAAAAAATAGATTTTTGAAGAATTTTTTGAATTGCCACGAGACTAGCACTTAACAGTTGCTGCTCAAACCAACCATTCTCATTCGTCCTGGAATCCACTAGAAAAAATATTGCTGTTCCATCATCAGCGAAGGGGAGTGGCAGTCATCAGATTTGAAATAATTTCAAATTCTGCATCGTTGAGAATTCTACAGAAGCTACAAAACATTTTTAACGAATTTTCAGGGCGAAAAATTCTAGGAAATACTTCGTTTTGGCATCGCCATAATGGGCCAGCGATCAAGTACATGCTCAGCATAATAATACTACAGGTATCAAAGTAAGGTGAGAATTCAGTTTAAATATAAATCCTGAGATGACGCTTTGGTGCTCTAATTATTATCATCACGCCCGATCTTGCTATCATTTTAGCTAGCAGCTGTCCATTTCTTTTATCCTGCATCATCGATAATCATTATCCTTATTCCCAACATCCGCTTACACCTGGCGAGAATGGTACTTCATTATCCAAAAGAATTGTTTTCTAGGTTACTGTTAGTAAAAATGGCCACTGTGGATTGCTTGTTTATGAAAATAGTTAACTGTAAATATTCTCCAGTTTATTGCTTTCCAATTTTATCCCTTTCAGCCTGTACAACTTCAAAACTATGCGCACAACAAGGGAATATTAAAAAAAAATAATTTATCAGTTTTCTTTGTAAATGCAGAATAAAAATAAATCCTTTTCTTTGCACGCTCACGTTTTAAGTTGTTTGTATATGTTCATCACTGGTCGTCTTATGGCCTTCTGACATAAAAATAGTGTAAAGATTTGACTCTTTGCCATAAAAGTGTGTTAGAAAAATTTATTAAATATCACACTGGCAAACAAACTTGTGCAGATTTTTCTGGTCAACTACTATACTGGCCAGTGAAAAGCATCCACCATGTTTTAGCTCACTCATATTCTACAACGAAAATTACTCGCCTTAACTAAGCATCAGCTTTATCAATAAGGAAGTCCTCTGCTGATGACGGGTTTTTATGAAACAGTTTCCAGTAACAAAATCTCAGTTTTCTGCTTTCATTCGTAAAGTCAGATTTGTTTCAGTTTACTTTTCTTCGTGGCACTTTGTTGCCTTTCTCTCTTTACTGCTGCCTGTTATTGCTAATCGTCCAAGAAGCTGCCTTTCCTGAATGCTTCCCAAGTTGGTTCCTTGTCAGAAGCAAAAGGCTAAATTTCTAGAGGTCTGTTGCACCCTAGTGGAAAGGAAAGACAGGGATACTCGGAGTGCTGGCTGTTGATTTTATATCAGCTGTGATCAAAGTCCTTGGCTAAAACGGGTCGGGTGAAGGCACAAGGAAGAGGCATGGCAGGGGTGCGATAATAACTGATAGAACCTTCAGTGCGTTTCTTGAACAGTAAGCTCTCGGGAATGCTTGGTCTCATCCTTTTTTCACTTGGGGACTCGAAAAGAAATCGCATTGGGGATCGTGCCTCTCTTTTACAGGATCAGAATTACGATAAATTGAGACAGGCAGTGCAAAATTCATTAGGTAAATGTTGAAAAATTTTGCGCCTTAAGCGTAAATTTCAATCGAATGGTACCGGGCTGCTAGAAATGTGCTAAACTGCATTATGAATCGTTTAACCGTGTTTCATTAGCGTACTACAATCGTTTAACCGTGTTCTCGTTTGGCACCGCATTTGGTATGCGGATTCTCGATAATACAGATATGCCAGAATTTACCAGTCTGGGCACGCAGAGCACCACCGTGATTCGTGAGATGACCGAAGTATGTAGACCCGCAAAATGTGGTCAAAAGCTGGCAATTCTGGAATTTTTGTGAAACTCGGGCGCTAAACTTAGCAAAATTGGTATCACGATCAAAAAAGGACTGATTGCATCACGCTAATGAAGATGTGTGAATGCTGATTTTCAAGCATGCTATTCATTTCTCCGTTCTTTTTTCGAGGTAGTAATTCTGAGCAAATGCACGAATTGATACTGTGCTTACATGCGGTACAAACAGATTAAATTTCCCACAGTAGCCCTCCGCTCTACGCTCAGCCTCGAGGTATCCAGGGTTCCAAACGATGAGGAGCTGAACACTACCGTGATTTCTGCTGCTTCGATAGTTTTTCAACACAAATGGTTGCGGAAGTTCCTCTCCTCGACATCAAATTTCGGAATCGCTGCCCAACAACCGACTGCGGAAGCATTTGCCGAGTTTTTACGTTGGCAGGTGGAGGGTAAAACTTTTTGCTGAAATTAATGGGCCGAGATGAGCAATGTTTTTGGAACCCAGATGCGATTAAAAAGCCGGTGTGGACTGAATTCTAGCAGTGGCAGTTATTGAAACCGACTGGGTAGGTGAGAGAGCAGCCCAAGATGTTTGCTGCATATACAAGGGATGTAATCGATTCCAAGGCTGCCAAACATTTTCTTGAACTCAGAAAAAAACGAACGGTATTCAGAATTCTGTATGATTGATAATGAGGGCGATGAGGCAGATAAAAGCATACGAAGCCACCCAGAAAACCTTGCAACCGAGCGTTCATTTCCTGCGATTCGTGCTTTTTCTTCCGCTTGAAACTCAAAGCATTATATATATATATATATATATATGCGTGTTCTGTCTGGCAAATAAATGTATTTTTGTGTTAAAGTTAAAATATGTAGTGGCGTGCACCAGGGCAACCGGTGCGATCACGTGTTTTGCGCAGTTCAATCCAGCGAACGTTTGCTGTTTTACACTTGGTCTATGCAAAAATAGTTGATATGTTGCAGGTTCTTAAACTGCGAAATTTTCCACTAAAATTTTGGCATGCCGGCACATGAAGCGTGCGTGAGAGCTGAATTTGAAACTTCAGATAGCGGACATCCTTCCAAGATTTCAGCCTTTTAATTTTCTGTTTTTCAAGTAACTTTCGCGCCAAAACTTTCATGTGGTCATACGTGAGACCTCTGCAAATTTGAAAATATGTGAGGTCCATGCATAGGCAGAAAACACAGTCTCGAAATTTCCAGTCTCCTAGCTCTTCCGGCTCCCGAGACAATAATTTTCCCGCAAAAAACTTTTACTGGGGCGTTGAGACCGAGGCACGCGTGAAAGTTGAATTTGAACTTGCGGAGTCGTGCATGAGCAGGGGATAATACAATAATATTTCAACTTTCTAGCTTTCGTAGTTCCCGAGATAACTTTTTTCATCAAAACTTTCACGGGATCGTACGAGGTGCCAAGAAGCAAGTGAAAGCTGAATTTGCGTATGCGAAGTTGTACTTGGGCGGAGGACATTACCCTAAAATTTCAGTTTCCCAATTTCCGTTGTTCCCAAGATAATAATTTCCCCGCTAAAACTTTCCTAGGGCCATACGTGATGCCCGGAGGCGCGGAAAATCCAAATTTAAATATACTGGGTCGATCATGGGCGTAGGATATTGCTGCCTGGCTTTTATGGTTCCCAAGATAATAGTTTCCTCGCCAAAAGTTCGACGGGGCCGTACATGATACCTGAATGCGCGGGAAGGATGAATTTAAATTTGCTAGGTCGTGCATGGGCAGAGGTCACTTAAATTTCAGCTTGTCTTCCGTGATATTCGAGATGATAATTTTCTCAGTCAAAACTTTCACGGGTCATGCGTGGTACTCAGACGCAGGGAAGGACTTAAATTGAATTAGCGGGTCCGGACTGGGCGGGAAGCATTCTCCTAAAATTTCAGCTTTCTAGCTTTTGTGGCTTCCGAGTTGAAAGTTGCGACAAAATGTGGACACACACAGACAATCCGGTGATAATATGAGCTGTGTGTAGCTGTAGTACAGCACAAAATGTACAATAATCAGTTGAAGCAGGATTGTTTTGATTCCTAATGCGGTATAAATCCTCTGTGAATATTTTTCCTGACAAATCTCAAGGAAGGGCTAACTAGATTTCTCTGAAAACAATGACTTAAAAAAATGTATTGAAAAACCATGTATGTACAAACAGATTAATTAATACCAGTGGCGTAGCCGAGATTCTATTTACGATAAAAAAAAGGCATTTTTTGTGGTAACCAATGAGGATGCCACAGAAAAAAATCCGTTTTACAATTTAAAAAATACAAGAAAAAAATAACAGCTTATTACTAAAGAATGAAAAATGCGGATTTTGAAAAGAAGTTACGTATACTTCTCTTGCCTCTGTCCTATGTCCCCTGTTTTTTTACGGCTACGTTACTGGCCAACACAGCATGTTTCATGACATAACAGCTTTTCTATCAGCAACTGATCACACTTTGATTGGCTTCATTGATGAAGAAGGCTGCGACAATATGCGATTTTGTGTTGCTTCCTCCTGAGCAGTTGTAAGGACACGTGGTTTTTGTAAACCTGAATGGTATTTTGGAAAAATCAACAAAGAATATTTTTGAAAGCGGTTTTACAGAAATATCCCAAATGAAAAACTGAAGCACGACATTGTACGTCCGCTCAAGTTCAGAGAACAAGGAGCGATTGTCACCAAACCCAGTCAATCTTTGCTGCATGCAAAGAAGCCCCAAACAAGGGATTATTTTGGCCTTTTTTAGTTTATTTATATTTCAGACCACATCATAAGGCCTTCAAAATTGTGTTTTTCCTCGTAAGTCTGTCGGGTATCCCTGCATCCGAAGTCCAATGCTGTTGAAAATTTCTGCAGAGCTAATTCCTAACCATTATCTGCAGGACAACGACTGTTCTTGCTGAGTATACGAGGCAAAAGCTAGTTGCTAAATTAAAGATCTAAGCGTGGAGAATATACTCTGCATCCTTTTCTTTTTTGAAAGGTATGCCTTACTAATCACAAAGCCAGTGACGCGAGGTTAAAAATTTTTTTCATAAAAAACATAAATGATACCGTTTCTCATGCAAATATCGGTGGTGGCGGCATTGGATGTCACATGCGTGATACCGGGAGGAGGCGGCACAAATGCGTACTCCGGTACAATCGAAACCAAGGACGGGAACAACCGAACGGCAGCATCACGAAGAGGCAGTACATTCCAAACGATGAGCAGCGGATGAATGAAGGAATTGATGAGCGGAAGAGCAACAAATGATATTTCCAGAGCTATATGTACGAACTGAAATTTTTGGGAAATGAGGAAAGCTACTTTCGGGATTGTCATGAAAAAAACTTCATGCGATTTATTTCATTCATAAAAGGAGAATGCGCGTTAAGGTGCTAGTAGTGATGGGAAATCCTACAAAACGGTTAGGGAAGTATAAATCTGAAGAATCATAATTTTAACGTCGCTGCCACAATGCCATTCAAAAAACATCATTTCATCCACATTTATTCTAAAAAGAAATTTTATCTCGAATAACAAAAACGCAAATAACGATGAAAGCTTCAGGCGGCAGTCTAACTGAGGTAATACAGGCTGTCGCACAGCTCGTCAAAAAACCTGAAATTTTGAAACTGCGAAATGATCTGCTATCTAAAAAACCATCAACTGATGAAACAGAAATGTCAAATTCAACTATTCTGCACAGCGAGAGAACTAGGAAAGCTAGGGATGGAAAATTTTAAAAGATTTTCTACTTTTAATTCTCAGTGACAGGTCTCAAATCTTTTTTTTGCAAAGGTTCAAATTCCACTTAGTCATACAATTAGTAAAACAACGAACGGGATTTTTATCAAATAATTCGAAATGAATAGGCTAAAATCAATTTTTGAGCTCGCTTACATACACTCTCGGGTTCATATTCAGGCCGTTTTCATAAACCCGGAATGAAGTAGGCTGTGGTTTGAAATTTTGTTTTTTTTTCGTGTGTTCGATCTGTCGAAGGCGCATCATTACCAGAGACATGTATTGGCGCATGTATCAGCTGAGCACCCTGAACCGGTCTCTTGCAAAAACAGCTGGGTCTTTAGGCGGCTTCACAATGCGCACCGTCATTTATTACCTCTCAGTTTTTATATTTTCAATATCACTCGAATGCTTATTTAGCAAATAAAGAAGCCCCTCCACGCTAGTTCAAAAAAGCTGCAAGTGCTATCATTCAAAAATGTTTCTTTCAAAATAGTTCCTCTTTATGTCACTGCAAAAGTCCTTTTCGAGAGCATCAGAACCATGAGTTACCATGCAGAAAGAATAGGTGAACAGCAAAAGCACTGAGTGGTGCCCATTAAAAGCTTGCGTACCGCTCAAACTCTGAGAGCGAGTCATTTGATGTTATTGACACGGAATACCTGTCATACCATCATAACGTGCCGTTTAATTCTTCCTATTTAAATTAAGAATTTTGAAGACCAAAATGCGCCATCTTGACCTGCTAAAAGTGGCTATCGGGGCACAATGCTGAGGCTGTTGATAGTTTCACATCAGGATCAGATGTCTGAAGCAGATTTAACTGGAAGGAAATGAAGCGGAGGGGAGAAAGGAGATGGAAAGGGAGAAAGGAGCTGGTTGTCACTTACTTGAGCACAAACATTCAATGCTACATATTGATAAACAACAAAAATGCCGCTCAGTAGAAAAGATAATTCCCAAACAAGTGTTTCGACTGTAACCACTTCCTGAAACAACTTCAAGCTTTAAACAAAAAAGAGCAACAAACTCTCGGACGATGAGACCGGCGCAATGAAAGTACTGCTGTCACCGGACATACAAGTAACCCAGGCTGGAACGCACCAGGCGAGCCGGTGCGATCATGCGTTTTTACACAAAACTTGGATTGGGTTAACTGCATGAACGGTTGTTTCTTCACACCTACCTTGTATGCTTAATGCCGAAAATCATCGCAAATTTCGCATAAAAAGAAATAAACTATTTACGTTTAGCGATTTTTTTTTGGAAGTAACCCAACTGTTCAATGAGTAATTTTCCCGCCAGAAATTTAATTGCCCGTACACGAAAATCACGCGTAAATGAAGGCTAATGAGTAATTTTCCCACCAGAAATTTAATTGCCCGTACACGAAAATCACGCGTAAATGAAGACTGATTTGAAGATCACCAGAAATTTAATTGCCCGTACACGAAAATCACGCGTAAATGAAGACTGAGTTTGAAGATTTAATTTTATTTGGACGGGGAATATCCTCCTAAAATCTGGGCCTCCCAACTTTTCTGGTTCTTGAGTTAGCAAATTTTTCCGCCAAAACATCCACAGGGCCGCACGTGACCCAGGAGCATACTTGGGGACAGGGTTTGGGGTTTTTAAGTTGTGTGCAAGCTGAGAACATCTCTTTAAAATTTTAGCCTCCCAGCATTTCTGGTTCCCGAGTTAGTCATTTACCCGCCAAAAAAGTTTCACGGTGCCGTACATGAGAACTATGTATGACTGGAGATTGAATTTGACAGGTTTATGTCGTACTTGTGCCTGGAACATTCCCTGAAAATTTCAGCCTCCCAGCTTTTCTGGTTC